TCCCTTTTCTACAAACAGGAAAACAGATTAGAAAATGATAGGTGACCTGTCTTAGATCACACATCTAGAAAGTGGCAGATTTGGGATACAAACACAGATACATATGATTCTAAAAGTCTTTCTTTTTCACTATGTTACATTAATTCAATTTAAACATAATTTTTCTGAGGCATTCTCACTATTATCTTAGTATCACATGGGGGAAAATTTTTTTTGTAACCTCCAAAGACCAAATCCTATTTCCTTTAGTTGACGTGAATTACTGGGTTTCCACAGGAGCCCATGGTCAGCCTTTTGTTCATGGGCACCTATAACTTAATAGATAATTTGGTGTAGTGCTTATCACAAAGTAGGTAATTAATGTTTCATTATTTTCAAGGAGTCTGTGAACTCACAGATCTGAGACAACCTGTTTGTTTACCTTCTCATTCCCAGCATCACTTTGTAGAGGCTCCATAAAACATTGATATATGAATTAATGAGCTATTCATTTACACAGAATTTAAAATTATATAGATTTGGATAGTGGTATTTTGTTGGACAAATCCATTTTCATGGTGATTACAACATATACGACATACAACAAATTTTAAACAGGATGTTGGTCTTGTCCACCACCACTGTAAAGACATTCTATTGCCTATGGACTCCTGTGAATAGATAGATTGTAACACTGTACCTCACCAGTTTGTAATCAATCTTGAATCCCTCATTAAACAGACCTATTGCCATTCTCCCACTTTGGAAAGAAATAAATTGTGTGTGTATGTGTGTGTGCATGTGTGTGTGTATGTGTGCAAGCCTGTATACTACGAACATGTATAAAGAACCTCAAGGTGACTATGAGGTATAAAGGTATAAAGCACCTCAAGGTGGCTATGAGGCTACAGTGGCCAAGAATCAGCATATATAAAATATAAGAGCTATAGGCTGGGCGTGTACCTATAGATTATAGGCTTGCACCTATAATCCTAGCACTTTAGGAGACCGAGGTGGGAGAATTACTTGAGGTCAGGAGTATGAGACCAACCTGGTCAACATGATAAACCCCATCTCTAAGAAAAAATACAAAAATTAGCTGGGTGTGGTGGTGGGTACCTGTAATCCCAGCTACTTGGGAGGCAGGAGAATTGCTTGAACTTGGGAGGTGGAGGTTGCAGTGAACTGATATTGCACCACTGAACTCCAGCCTCGGTGACAGAATGAGATTCCATCTCAAAATAAATAAATAAATAAATAAATAAACATAAGAGCTATAGAGTTAGGAGCATATACTTTGTAAACAGAGAAAGGTTGCTGAAGAAATGAGAGCCAATGATGCCTTAAAGAGAGCATTAAGTTCGGATATATAATGGAGGAGAAAGCATCCTAGCCGAGGGAACAAAGTGAAGAAAAATGAACAAGTGGTGTAAGACATGTGTTTAGTAGAAGTGAAACAGTCTGGGGAATTAGGGGGCGTATACTTCAGGGAATGTTCGAATTTGTTGGAGGGCCTTTATAATTACTTGAAATAGGACTTTCTCTTGTGAGCAATAGGGGATCATAAAAATCTTTTAGGTGGGCAGATCATTTGAGGTCAGGAGTTCGAGACCAGCCTGGCAGACATGGTGAAACCCCGCCTCTACTAAAAATACAAAGATTTTAGCTGGGCGTGGTGGTGTGTGCCTGTAATTCCAGCTACTTGGGAGGCTGAGGCAGAAGAATTGCTTAAACCTGAAAGGCGGAAGTTGTAGTGAGCTGAGATTGTGCCACTGCACTCCAGCCTAGATGACAGAGCAAGACTCTGTCTCAGAGAGAGAGAGGAAAAATCTTTTAAGTTGTAGAAGGTTGTTGACAGCACTGTTTTACAAATACAGATAGGGAAATCTTCACAGGTTGGCTTGTGTGTTGTAGGAATTTGTGAATAGTGCTGGGCGTGCACAGAGATGAGAATGAACACAGTTTTAGAAAGCCACTACTTAGGATAAAGTAAGTTGCATACATGGAGCAATAAAGGCACGGAGTGCTAAGGTGATGGGAATGGAAATGGAGCTGGAAGGATATAAAGAAGAAGCAATGGTGCATGACCACTGAGGACCTGATGATAACTTATCTCCAAGAAGGGAGCCGTTCATAAAAAAACAAACAAACAACAACAACAACAACAACAACAAAAAACAAGACAGAGTTAGACTTTAAAAATCTAATTTTGTGTCCTGGGATCACAACAATCAAGGAATCCAGCCTCTTATGACTAGAACCAAGTGCTCAGACCCCAATGTTATGCATTCCCAGGAAGTCAAAGGATTAGTTATACTGCTAATGTTCATATTATAGAGGTAAAGAAAAATTGTAGTTTCAAAATCAACAGGGTAAAAACATTCACTTATAATATTTATCTCAACAGAACATAAATCCAAAGCACCACAATCCCAAGCTCCCTGCCTAATAGATGTTTCTTGGTTCTTGGATTTTTCAAACCACTGAGAAAACATTTTCAGTGACCTTAATTAGTACCCAAACAAAGAACGAGAGATGAAAAGGGCAACAAAAAGGACAGAAGAGATCTGGAAGAGGAAGGTGCTCTGAGAGGTGAGTTTCAGCTTGCATAGCATGCAAGCTCTAATGTAACCAGGCCTCTGGAAACTTTTACTCAACTCCACAATTTACCCTGACAGCATTTCTAAAACCGCTAGAAATGCAGCATGTCTCCCCAGCTGTTGGCCTACTTTTGACAACAGTTAAAAAAAAAAAAAGAAAAAGAAAAGAAAAAAAAAGAAATACGTTTTACATGTGGATCAGGAAAAGTAGCCACATCAACTTTTTCTTTTTTTTTTTTTTTTTTACTTCTGGGCATTTTTTTCCTGGCTTCACACATTCTCTTTATTGCATTCCTTAAAATGACTTAAGCTGATGCTTTCAGACAGGCTTGGGAGAGGACCGCAGAAACCCAGGCCACTTCTTGAAACACTTGAGTACCCAGGAGATTAAATAAAGCTCAAAAGATCACACTCTTCTTAAGGTGGCATGGTTTTAGGAACCCAGAATTGAGAGGCGAGTTCATTCTTTTCAAGGCCAGACCTTCAGTCAAGATGTAAAGCCTCTGTGCGTCACGCTGCTGCCGCTGCGGCTGCTCTGAGTGATGAGTGCGGCAGGAGCAAGGTGGCGGCGGGTTGGGTTGGGGCCGCAGCCGCTGAGCGCCTTTGCTCCCGGGGCCTCACTGCAGAACTGTGGGCACGCAGCCCTTGAACAGAAAGCCTGGGATGCAGCGGGCTCCAGAGAATGGAAAGGAAACGTAAAACCGCTGAATGCTTCCTGCACCTCCTTTCCTTTCTCCTTTTGACAGAAAGCAGAATATAGCTTTGTAAATAAAAAAAACTCTTCATCCTGGTTCAAATGCTGGACGTTCCCCAAATTACGAAGGCTTTGCAGAGAAAATGACAGCAGTTTAAAAATAGCCCCCCAGGAAAGGATAGATGGAAGCTATTCCCTACCCAGTGGTTGCCATTTGCCAGTCCATGGGAATGTTCTTCCCAGGCACTGCCTTCCCCTGTTGGTATTTAAGGAGAAAGGGAGAAAGGCATTGGGAACAGCAGACTGTTCACAGGGATTCTGTGGGAGACGGGAAAGTGGCAAAGGCTATATATATATCCTTTAAAGATACATCAATAATCCCCAAACATCTAATGTTACAAATAAACAGCAGTAACCCTGAAAAGCTGTGTTTGGATAGAGCCAATTTAGTTTCTAATGGGCTGGGAAACTAGAAGAGAAAAAACTGTCTTTTAAGCAATTAGTCTCTGAGCCTTAAAAATTTCTGTCATTGTTAATTTCTCTATCAATGATGCAATCCCCCCAAAAACGACACATGCATCTCTAATTATCTTTGTGGATGAGATAGGAATGTAAATTAACACCCGAATTCTTCGCTGATAACATATAACAGTGATTGTTACCGAGTCGTCTTAGCTACGCAAACACTCTGCAGGAACAATGATTTTCTTAAAAAAAAAAAAAAAAAGGTTTCCAGTATATTATGTAATTTTGATTTTTCTTATTTTTGTTTTAATTTTTTGTTAGTTACTACGTAGGGAAGATTAATTAATAGATGACAAATCAAAAAAAGGATGTGTGGGAGAAAAAAACCCTGGATGTCATTCAACTCAGCACTTGGCTAAATTATTAGCTTACTGTACATGACATTAACATTATAATTACCTAGTTTCTATTTAAACAGCCATTCCACTTAATTATCCTCATTTCAAAGCAAAAAGACATTTTAAAATATTTTTATCCATAAACCTTTTCTGAAAACATTTTATTTTACCTATTTTGTATTCTCCAACTCCCCCAAAATTGTCAACTCAGAAATGTCTTAGTTTCTTTTATTGATCGTAAGTTGTTCTATGCTGTCACCCCTGTTCCTGATAGTTCTTATCTTTGCCCTCTCCCAGTGCCACCTTGTGATATATTTGAAAAGTCAAGGTGACTCCTATTCTCAGCAAATATTCATCAATACGGTTGAAAGCCTCTTGAAAATGGGTCAGCACAGAAAATTCTATTATCAAGTTTTTCTCAACATGGGAGGTGAGGCAAGCACAGACAGCCAGAATCAAAACCAAGGTGACAGGAATACAGCACAGAGATTTGCAAGGGCCCTGTTTTGAGGCGTCAGACCATGGCTGCTTGATTTGGGTCTGGGAAGGGCTCAAGATCGCTCTGGCCCCTCCTCTGAGGACAGTCAGCCCAGCTTGCTTAGCCCCTGCCAGTCAAGGCGATTCCCATAGGATCACTATTCTTTAAGCCCCACCTACCTCACCCATTCACAGACAATAATAAACAGATTTAAATGAGCCTTGGAAAATAAGTATGGACAAGCAAGGATACACACAAATCATTCTTGCACAGTCCTAAGCACTTGGTTTCCAAACTCCCACTTTATCTGAGCATAAATAGACCTTGAAGCCTAAGAGAATATTATTTAGATTTATAAAAAGGACATAAACATATAATCTACCTACCTTTCCGAAAACTAAAACACCGTTTGATTCTTCTGTATGTAGTTTTAGGGATGAAAGGAGTTGAGGCTAAGGCACCAGCGGGGCGTCCCCCAGAATTCCGGTCTTCAGGCATCATACAGGCCCGAAGTTCTGAACCCGGTTTTGGCTTCCTTTAAAATCTGCCTCTGAGCAAAACCCTGCAGCCACTCCTCATGCTTGTTTATTTATTATTTTTGAAGTGCTGATTCCTAGAACTCGAAGGTTTTGATCATCCAGGTCCTGGCTTAGGAATAAGTTACTACCTCTCATTTACTCCTTTTTGGCAAAAAACTTCCTTTTCTCTTGCCTAATCCAGGGAGTTTTTAAGGTTTTGGTTTTTTGGTTTTTTTTTTTTTTGAGTTTCTGCAGACATTCCAAAATGCCACAGGAAAAGAACTGCAGCAAGCAAGCTACCATTCCCATTCAGACAGCAGGAATTGGTTTTTGTATTTTTTTTTTTTTATTAAGAACTGTCTTCTCAGCTGGACTGAGATTCCTCTGGAAAGGTCAGCAAATAGCCCTGTGCAAAAGGAAAGAGGAACAATGACAAAAAGGCCCCTGAGGAATATTTCAGGACTCTCCTTGCTGGCTCCTTTCATCTGAGCAAGAGGGGAGGAAAATAATGGCACCTTCTCCAGAAAGCATTTCAGTGCATGATGGATTTCTTTCAAAGGACTCCCCTGCTCCTTTTATAGCACCCCTCATCCTTTGATGCTCTCTGCAGGCTTCTCCCTTTTCCCTTCTGTCTTCAAACTCCCGGGGGAATCACCACATCAGAACAGTCGAATGCCCATTCCAGGAGGCTCCTTCGATCTTCGGGGGCAGGGGAGGCAGCTTTGCAGAGAGTGTCTCCTCCCTCTCCTCCTGCTCCATCTCCCCTTTTCTCAATGAGAGCCGAGAAGGAACTGGCAAGGCTGTGGCTGCGGCTGCCTCCAGTGCCCGCCGGTCACATGCAGCAGGTGCAGTCACAACAGGATGAGGGGAGGAGGGAGAATGCCTGCCACACTGCGGTGTGAACCCCTTTCTTTTGCTTTTGACTTTGTGTTGACTTACCAGCTCTTGTCTTGTGTAGCATTTTTACAGCTGGCTGGCTCAGCCTCTCCAGAAATCACAGGGCACCAAACCAAACCCCAGGGGGTAAACTTTTTGCCTCTTCATACCTGCATTTATTCTCTTCCCATACAAGTTATACTTCGTCCAAATCATTTGTAATTGAATTCACTTGTGAGCACTGATTTAACATGCATACCCTGAAAACATATTTATATGTGTGTATGTGTGTGTCCATAAAACAGAAAAATATTTAAAATTTAGTGGCAAAGACTCTGTGGATATAAATGCAAACACATAAACACATATGTGTGTGTGTATTTACACACACCTCTACGTTTCTCCAGCTATGATTTGCAAACCAATTCTATTTTCAACATTCTCCATGCTCTCTCATGTAAACTCTGCACCCCAGCCCCCATGTCCATCAAGCCTTTCAGTCCTACTTACTGACCAATTTATTTGCTAGGTTAATCATTCATCCACCTGGCTGTTCCATGAACTGATTTGGAATGCCAGTGCCTTAACCCCAACTGACCCCCAAGGCCTTCGTGTTCCTTACCAGCCATTTGGCAGAAACTTTATAAGACCATGAGGAGTGTTAAAAAGGCCCTTCCATTAAAAATGTCATTACTCTGACTAGCATGCTCACGTAGGTAATCTTTTGTCATTGAAAGGATTATTATTAGTTACTTCTGCCCTGTGGTATTTTTACCCAGAAGATAAAAAATGGTATTTTTACCTTCTGGGTCACAGCATGCTGCTAAGAAAATAAAGAACCACGAAGTGTAACTTAGCACCACCAAGACAGAGACAATGCTGCCCTTGCAAGCACCTTAGCCAACAGAAAAATCCACTGACCTGAGCGCTGATCTGCAGGGCACTCCTGTAATCACAGGATTTGGGGGCTGGGAAGTGAAAGCATTTTTTTTTTTCTTCGAATGTTCTTATTTCACAAGTGAGTAAAACCAAAGGGAAGGGAAGTAAAGCTACATATCCAAGATTGCACAGTTGTGTCTAAGGCAAGACCACGTTGCCCCTTAATTCACCTCTGTTTGCCTACATGCCAATTGTTCATCATAAGGATTATTCACAAATAGTATTCATACTGCCTGGCTGGGCCTCTGAATCAACTCTTTTCATTAGGAGGCAGAAATGTACAGGAAAGACCTGATGTTGGCAGTAGCTAACATCAGACTAAGCACTTGGAACTAAAAGAACTATTAGGTCGGGTGCAGTGACTCATGCCTGTTATCCCAGCACTTTGAGAGGCAGAGGCGGGTGAATCGCCTGAGGTCAGGAGTTTGAGACCACCATAGCCAACATGGTGAAATATCATTTCTGCTAAAAATACAAAAAAAATTAGCTAGGCCTGGTGGCAGGCGCCTGTGATCTCAACCACACAGTTGGGAGGCTGAGGCAGGAGAATAACTGGAACCTGGAAGGCAGATGTTGCAGTAAGCTGAGATGGCGCCATTGCACTCCAGCCTGGGTGACAGAGGGAGACTCTTGTCTCAAAAAAAAAAAAAAAAAAAAAAGCTATTAATGAATTATCACTCTCCTCAGATCTCAGATTCTAGGCTAGATCCTTTCATAAATATTGCCTCAAAAACAATAGAAAAGGAACCCAGTATAAAAATAAACAAGGAAGAAGGGAGGGAAGGAGGGAAGGGAGGGAAAGAGGGAAGGGAGGAAGAGAGGGAAGGGAGGGAAGGAGGAAAGGAGAAGGGCAGGAAGTAAGGAAGGAGGGAGGGAAGGAGGAAAGGAGGGAGGAAGGAAGTAAGGAAGGGAAGGAAGAAGGGAAGGAAGGAGGGAGGAAGGGAAGGAGGAAGGGAAGGAGGAAGGGAGGAAGGAAGGAAGGAAGGAAGGAAGGAAGGAAGGAAGGAAGGAAGGAAGGAAAACTAAATTTTTCCAAGGCTTAATAAATGTTCGATATTTAAATTTCTGATTTTGACTTTCATGTAAAGACCATATGCCTCTCAGTTAGCATTATTACTAGAGCAGCAACTGTGCATGGGTGTTTTCAGCAGGTGGCACAAAGCTGAGCTATCTAGAGTCAATACTAAACTTTGTTATCAGGTTAGAGAATTAAAAAGGAATGTCTGTTTTTCACATTTCTATTGGTTCCCTGCCCCATACGAATATTTTATAAATTCACTTTAATACAAAGGAAAGGCCTATAATTCCAAAATCCTATATTTTATAATTTCCACTTAATAGTTTTTAATTTCTAGGAGATTGAAGAACTAGACAAGCTCCTCAGGTGTCTCCTATATTTTAATCTAATGTCTATTACTGTAATGGCAAAGAGGAAATAGTTTACATATATGTGCAACCTAACTAAAGATAAGCTTAAGTGCCTCATGAAAAACTTTAGCTTTTTAAAAACAGTTTATGAAACTGCCACAATGAAATACTCCCTTTGCAATAGATACATTTAAAATATATTCAAAGGTGGTATACTGTGATTGATAAATCAGAGTGATATGTCACCTTCTCTTCTAAATGTGTTTACAGATACCATCTAATCAAGTGCTTTTTATTTAGGATTAACAGGGCTGGGTTCCATAACTAAGACAGGAAAGGAAAGTGCATTCTCTTATGATGGGTGATTATGACAATTGAGAATTTTTAATAGCTTTATTGAGATATATTCCCATGCCATAGAATTCCCCAATTTAAAATGTACAATTCAATGGTTTTTAGTATATTCACAGATACATGCAACCATCATCACAGTTAATTCTAGAACATTTTCATCTTAAAAATAAACCCTGTATCTGAGGTGGACAGATCACAAGGTCAGGAGATAGAGACCATCCTGGCTAACATGGTGAAACCCCGTCTTTGCTAAAAATACAAAATATTAGCCTGGCGTGGTGGCATACACCTGTAGTCCCAGCTACTTGGGAGGCTGAGGCAGAAGAATTGCTTGAACCCAAGAGATGGAGGTTGCAGTGAGCTGAGATCATGCCACTCCAGCCTGGGCGACAGAGAGAGACTCTTGCTCAAAAAAAAAAAAAAAAAAAACAAATAATAAAATAAAATAAACCCTGTATCTTTTGGCTCTCTCTCTCCTATCCCCTCATCCCCCATCCCAGCTCTAAGCAACCACTAATTTATTTTCTGTCTCTGTAGATTTCCTTGTTCTATACTTTCATATGAATGGAATCATAAAACATGCTGTTTTGTGATTGGCTTCTTTCACTTAGCATAACGTTTTCAAGCTTCATTCATGGTGTTGCATATAACAGTACTTCATTTCTTTTTATGGCTTAGTAATAATCCATTCTATGGATACATCACATTCTGTTTATTCATTCACCTGTTGATGGATATTTGGGTTGTTTTGGATTTTTAAAAAAAATCCTCTATGGTATCAATTCCAGTATTTTTGATGGATTCATAAAACGATATTAATTCTAATTATCATACATTTAAAAACTGTTATTATTTTTCATAGACTGAAGAATATACTATCAATAAGGCATGGACTTATCATTGTGGGCTTTTTATGATCACAGTAGAAGTAATAGGTCACACTGTTTTGCTATAAAGCAGGAGGAACACATGGGTTTTCTTCCTACTTCCGCTCCTCACAGTGTGACACTTGGCAAGTTTTTCATCCTCTTTGGATCTTGAAGACTTAATTCACAAAATGTGAGGTTGAACTAAAACAGTGGTTTTTAAATATTGCAAATCTGTAGAAAAGTTAATTTAATTTAACATTAACTTTAATTTAACATTTCATTGAAAATGTTAAGTGGAAACAATACACAGCATAAAATAAGTAAAAGGGTTTTAAACTCATTGTTTAAAACTAAAATTTATAAGATTTCTTTAAAATTCAATCAATAATCACAGAATTTATTAATGTTAATAGGAACATTTGACACCTTAGATTAATATGATCATCTGAAACCCAAGATTATGGCTGACATTCAGTACTGACATTCTATTTTGTTTTGTATTCTGTATTAACTTTAGCAAACTCTGATATTCAGAGAAATCACAAAGGATTTCTTACAAATTAAATGGTACTTTAAAAACTTACCTTGAAATCTCATAACACTCCTATTAAACAAAGGGGGCAGGAGAAGATTTATTCTTTGAAGGATTGTTTCTATTATGAGTGCCATATGATAAAATATATCTCTTTAAATGTAAATTCGAATCGAGCATTTGCAAAAATCCCTGAAGCAGATCTCATATAATAAAGTATATAGACCAATCAATAATTGGAGTGTCCCTTCCAGGTTCATGAATTTGAAGATTCACATATGCAGCTTTCCCAGTCCCACTGGAATTATTTATGAGATTTCTGGGTTGATGTGACTGCCTGTGGCCATTTATTTGGAGAAGTTAACTGGATCTCATTCTTTTTCTTTTCTTTTCTTTCTTTCTTTCTTTCTTTCTTTCTTTCTTTCTTTCTTTCTTTTTAAGTCACAGATGGAAGAGGAGAAAGGGAGGAAAATAACCAACACTTGGTAGAAATAATTCCTCAACAAAAATATATTCTTCAGTAGACATTAAGGATTCGTCTAAACTAAGGAACCATAAAAATCTGATGATAAAGGAGAGAAGAGAGTCTTTAGAGACAACAGGAGCTTTGAAAAGATTTATCCTCAGGCTCCCCACAAACTCTTCACCCTGGAAGTGCTAACAAACATTACTAAATGGGTGTGTGTCTCTCATGTACAGTAGCCACTCCTTATTCATAGGGGATAAAAATCTCTTTTGGATACCTGAAATCTCAGACAGTATTGAACCCTTTATATACTGTATTTTTCCTATACATACATACCTATGGTAAAATTTAATTATAAATTAAGCATAGTAAAAGTTTAACAATAATTAATAAGAAGAATAATTATAGCAATATGCTACAATAAAAGTTATGTGAGCATGATCTTTCTTTCAAGGTATTTCATTGTACTATAGCTCTTAGCAACCGTAGCATGCAACTTTTTTTCCCCCCTTAAATCAGGAATGTTTTACCTTTTCACATAAGTGAAACATTTTATGACTTCTCTTTGGCATATCCAAATTTCCAGCATCAATGCTCTTGCATTTTGGGGCAAT